AGATTGTAGTCCATTTGTGTCTCTGCATACTTTGTTAGCCCCCTTTTATCCTGTTCCTCCATGGTCAGGACCCCCAACAGGAAAGTTACACCCTAAATTCTGGGAAATCACATGGTAAATTTAAATGAGCACTGAATTAAGCGAGCACTGAATTAAGTATTTATTGTAAAGTATTGTATTGTATTGTATTGTATTGTATTGCACTGCTCTGTGTTTAACTCTGTTCCTGTTTCTCTAGGTGTCTATAATGACTTTCTGATTCTAGCAGTATCTGAGCTCAGGACTGGCTTCCTCTCTAACCTATTGGTAACTAGCAAAGATACTTCCTCTGGATAGACAAAGCACTTTTTGTAAGTTGCTCTGGATAAGAGCATCTGCTAAATGCTGTAAATATAAATGTAAATGTAAATTAAAGAAAGTTGTACTCTAAGTGCCCAGTTGTTAGTTTTTGTTCCTCGTTGTTTAGTTTGGTCCTGCTGTGTCTACATTTCAATAAGAACAGCAAGTTTTCTCTGCTCTCACTCTCTCTCCTGGTGTAGGGCATATTGTGATGGTCAGGGCTCTGGTCTTTTAAAGTTTAAAGATAAGTGAATGACCCCTCAGACCAGTTAAGATGTGTCTGGTCTCTACCATTTCAAAATGAGCACAATATTCGAGCAAAGAATTGCAGACTAAACCAGTCAGCATCAGCTTTGATCCACAGCCCAGATCCAGAAGCAGAAGCTCTAATGTATGTGATTAAACTGCTTTTGTTGAAAGAGAAAATAAACTCTTTGGAGTAAAATTTCCATCTTGCTATTTTTGGTGTCCCAATTCACCAGAACAGCAGATGTCACCAAAGCACCAGTGCTTCTAGAACTTCTAGACCATTTTACAATTAATCTGTCTTCTTTCTGTGATAGTGTTGCTGGTGACTGTGGAGGCCTCTCTCTCTCTCTCATCTGGCAGACGGAGCCATCAAGCCTTATAACAATCAAATGAAAGAAAGCACGTTTATGAAAGAGGAAAATAATAAATCATTCAAATTTAATTAAAACAAAGGAAGGGTTAATTGTTAATCTGTGTCTGTCTCATCATTCTGTCTCTCTTTCTACACTTTGTCTTTTCTTTGTGGATGAATTTGATCAGGTTTGATATCACTACAAGGTTTAAAAATGGTTGAAAAGGCTAGGCTTCAACTACAAGATACAATTCAAAATGTTCTCTGGTCTTTACTGTAGCCCAACTACATATAATTTGCATTTATTTCATCATTCACAGTAAATCAGGTCTATACACCCTAAATTTCAAAACAAATGGTAGAATGAAGCTGGTTAATGAGTTTTTTTTTTATTATTTTATAACAAAACTGAATCCATGCTGTAAAATCAAATTGCCTTTGCCATATTTATTTAAAGACATTTTTACAAAGATATTTTCTTTTATTAAAGACATTTTCAGTTATTTAATGATTAAAATAACTGATTATTAAAATATAAAGAAACAAGTAAAAAAAAAAAACTGAAAATGAAAAAAAAAGGCAAAGAGAATTCAATCTCCATAAAATAATAAATAATTGGAGAACCTGTATCCTCGCTCACTGTCTTTGGGTAATGAACACTGATCAGTTTGCCTTTATTTGAGTTTAAGTCCCTCTTTAACCACAGAATGCCATGTTTATACTCTGTGTATCTTTACACTCTGTGTAACCGGAGATTATACTTCATCAAAGACAATTTGGTGTGCTATTTTTTTCTAATCTGTTTTCTATTCTGACCTAGACGGCAAAGTTAGCCAAAGCTTTTGCTCCTAAAAGAGTAACACAACATTTCTGAGATATAAAAAGTCAAAATGACAAACGAACATTTATCATGCATATAATATTGCTGGTCAAAATATAAAAAGGAGAGCACTGGAGAGTTACCTCTCTGACCACAGCAGGAGATTCTATTACACACTCAATACATAAGAAACAAAAAGAGAATTTGACTTGCAGCTGTGACTAAGGCTCTGGGTATGCATAATGTTCAATAATAATCACCAAATATAGAAAACGCTTTTTCAGTTATAATGGCACAGTTTTTGAGGGACAACAGTACAAATGTCTGTAATCCTCTCAACACTGAATTTTAACACCACTATATCCTATCTGAGATGTGCAAAGCGAGAATAAACAATGCTTATGCTTCTTAAGGTACGAATTGTGATCTATAACAAAATCATTTATTGCGTTGGAAGAGGTTTGAATATAATGTCCCGAGGAAAGACACTTGCTGTGGTCTCTCAGTCACATGATTCATCTCAGTCTCAGGCTCCTCTTCCACATCATCATAATCTGTAAAATGAGAACATATATCTCAAATAATACATTTTTTAAAAGTACACTGTATTGCACTGGTCACCAACCCTGCTCCAGATCTACCTTCTTGCAGAATTCAGCTCCAGTCCAAATGTAACATACCAGATCCACCTAATTAAAAGTTAACCTCCTCAGGTAAGCAGATCTCCATGAGCAGAGTTAGTAATCACCGCCGTATTCCAACAATAAACAACGATGGAAAATGCAGGTCCAGAAAGCTACAACTCTCTAGAGTGTTAAAACTCCCCAGAATTGTGTTTCAACTGTTTATACACTTCTGATAGTGCTTTGATATAATCAGAGAATGCAGGCAGTTGGTTTCACACCTCACCTGTACAGCAGATGCCACCAAAGCACCAGTGCTTTTAGAACGTCTAGACCTTCCTAGGTGTGGCTTAAGCATAACCTGCCCCTGTATCAATTCCTAATGTGGTTTATCTGTGCCTCCTCTTGCTTGCTTTTAAGGAACTGGGGAACTTTGCTTAGTCTTGCACTACTGTAGCCTTCTACAATGAAGTAATGAAGCAGTGAAGGATGAGCTAACAAACTGTAACTGGGGCAATTCCCTAGAGACTCTTATAACAACAGCTGTTCAACTAGACCAACTCATTCATGAGAGCAGATGGGAAAGGAAACATGTTAACATAACTGCTCAAAACATTCACACATCCTTTGTCAACAGCTCCCTTGGAGCCATCGCAGTCTCCACATGTTGGAGAGGAACCCATGCAACTGAGTCACTTTCGCCTTTCTCCTAAAGAAAGGCGAAAGAAAGGGGACGCAGACACCATGAATGTAAATACCTCTGTACTATGTGGTTTAGCTGGTCAATTTTTGGAATGAGGGACCATGAGGGGCACTAGAGAGTGGAGCTGGGCAAGGTGCACCACCCCTAGCATACATGCTTTTAGACACCACACTGTCTTGGGGGCAGGACAGTAATAACCAGGATCAACTCTCAGCTGTAGTGGAGGTGCAGAGGAGAACCTTCTTGATGTCACCCTGGCCAAGCAATTGCTCATTCCTCTGGAGGAATTAATTACAGGGGGTTAAATGGCATTAAAGGAAAGGACAAGTACCCACTCCCTCTTATGTCATCTGCCTTTGACCTGCTGAGGGGGGCCACTGTGTTCACCAAATTAGATCTGCACAATGTCAATTATCTAGTATGTATGAGGGAAGGTGATGAGTAGAAGACTTCATTTAACACCACTATTGATCACTTTGAGTACTTGGTAATGCCCTTCAGACTGTCTAACTGTCCAGTTGTTTTTCAGGCACTGATCAATGATGTGCTTTGGGATAAGGTCAACTTCTGTCTTCATATACCTTGATGAGGTCTTATTCTCATTTTCTCTAAAGGCCTGCCAGAACACATTCAACATATACTGCAAGTTCTGAAAAATATATTAGAAAATTGTTTGTAAGTCAAGATGGAGAAGTGTCAGTCTCATGTGTCTCACACCTCCTTCCTAGGGTTCCTGATTTCCTCAACAGGCATAGTCTGTGGAGAATGTATTGGATTGGCCAATACATTTCAACACATTTGGTCAACACAGTTCATCGCTGCAGCCACAAATGCACGTTGAATGTTGAAACTTTACCATACAAATTTTGACGAATCAAAATTTGAAATTCTTTTTGGAAATCATGGATGCCACATCCTCCGGGCTAAACAGAAGAGGGATCATCAAAGCACCATCCGTAATGGTATGGAATACATTAGTGCACATGCCATGGGTGACACACATCTGTAAAGGAGCTATTAATGCTGAACATTATATAGGTTTTGGAGCAACATATGCTGCCATCCAGATGATGTATTTTTCAGGGAAAGCCTTGCTTATTTCAGCAAGACAATGTCAAACCACATTCTGCATGTATTACAACAGCATGGCTCTGTAGTAAAAGAGCCCAGTTGTTAAACCGGCCTGTCTGCAGTCCAGACCTGTCACCCACTGAAAGCATTTGCCGCAGTGAAATGGAATATATGACAGTGGAGACCTAAAATTGTTAAGCAGCTGAAATCCTACATCAAGCAAGAATTAGAGAACACTTCACTTTCAAAACTACACTAATGGTCTCCTCAGGTGCCAAACGCTTACAGTGTGTTGATGAAAGAAAAGGTGACACAACACAGGAACATTTTCAAAATATGTTCCTGCCATTAAATTTAAAACGGGCGTATGTTTTTCATAAAAACAATAAAATTTTGTCTTTGTACTATTTTTAATTAACTATAAGGCCTGAATGATTTGCACATCATTGCATTCTGTTTTTATTTATATTTTGTGCAACATCCTAATTTTTTTTGGAAATGGGGTTGTACATCAAAGAAAGTCCACTGTCTATAAAGCTGTAAAATACTACATTAATGCATAAATACTGTTAATAATGCATTAACATTTCTGACAACTGACAGTGTTTAGCATCTGCATGTCTTGAGTACTAGACTCATCACATTTGTGCTTCCAGCCTTGCCTGTATGCCACTGTTGCACTAATCACTTTCATTATTACAGACAGACCCACCCAACTCTGTTCTGCACTTAGAGCTTGTGAGTTAAAAAGGCTAACAAATTAGTCTTTTCTAACTGTTTGTACATTAACAAATATGGTTATGTTTGTTTATTGAGTGGACAACAACACTGTTTATGTATCACCTTTTAGCCCTTCATCCTGTTCATTACTGAAGACATCCTCATTGCTCTCTCGAGTGTCCACTACACCAACATGGAAAGATAAATATACAAGTTATTTTTTCTGTGTTGAAGCTTCAGTTTTAAATTGTAAATCAGTCATTATTTACACAATAAGAAGACTTACTTTTCATAATGCTGGAGTTTGGTCCAGTGGTAACAGCATCATCATAGACATCTGCCAAGTATTCTGTCAAAATAAAAATAAAAGTCATTAAATCAGCTTCAGTATCATCAGGGACTGTGTTCAAGTTTGAGATTACAGTATTATTACTTTATAAGTCAAACCTGTTTCAACAGCTGAGCTCTGATCAGCAGTGGTGGCATCATCATAAATCTCTGCTAAGCCCTCTACACCAAAACACAGACATATTTAAATCATATAAAACCATATTTTACACAGCTGTATTTGTTAGGTGTTTCAGACACAAGTGTACGCTGGGTTTTTGTAACATTTGTTACTATCGATGTAGTTTCATTGCATTTTTTAAGCATTAAAATAAATTTGTTTACAAAATGATTTTTTAATTTGAATAAAGATTAATACATTAATTTGGGCCAGATTTTGCAGGTGTGATGGCATATGTGGGCACCAAAAGGCCTTCCTGCACTTATATGTGGACCACTGCTTTAAGGGTCAGTAAAGCTCCACAAATGGTTCACAAAGTCATTACAAATACAGACTATTTAATTATTTTAATTTCATAACATTTGTAATGATTTTAATCTCTACTTTATTTCTGCATCTTTCTAAACTAAAGCCCCAACACAGAAACATACCTGCTACACTATCAGAGATCTGTCCAGCAGAGATGACATCATCATAGCTCTCTGCTGTGTCCTCTTTTGCTGATTCACCTAAATCAATAAAAGCATACCTTATTTATAAACATTTTAAAAATGGATGTCGATTTCCTCAATCACAATTACTCATTGGACAACAATGAAATGCAAAAAAATGATAAGACTACACAGACAAACTGCTGACTGAATGTCTGCCAAAAGGCCAATCACAGTTGATTCCCATCTCAGTTGAAGTCCTACCCGGGTGCTGACCAATGGGTCACTTATGGAGTTATTTTGTGTATAAGTAAGAGAGGACATCAGGTGTGATGTGGATGAGAATTTTACTCTGAGCCTAAATATTCTTGGCATAGAAGAGACATGGCTAAAACAAACTCGACTTAATGTATTTATTTGTGTACATGTATTTCTAATGAATTCTCTAATTTCTAAAAGGTGACTGTAATATTTCTCAGTTGTATGGACTTTCAGATCTTCTTACCCAAATGGAGCTCCTCATCCACATCCTCATATCCTGAATTCTGTGCTTCAGAGATGATACTTCCTGTTAGAGGAGAGCACACAGTCATCAAACACGCTCAGAATGCAGAACCACACACAATCCTCTGAGTGCTGTGGATCATTGTGAACTGGCTTAGTAAGACAGTAGACAGTAGAGGGCGCTCTCAGACACAAGACTAAAACACAGACCCAGACACACCTCCTCCATCATCACGCACTGCACTCCCACACACACATTTATTCCCTTCACATAAATTTTCTATTTTAATTCTCTAAATACTGATTTAACTTTGGCTTATGAAACATGGATATAGGGATGAATTCTCTCATTTCTAAGTTGCGATTGTTATACATATCAGTGGAATGGAGATTGGCTCACACATGTTCTGGTCCTCTTACCTGAGAGAAGCTCCTCATCCACATCCTCATATCCTGAATGCTGTTCTTCAGAGAGGATACTTCCTGTTAAAGGAGAGCAGAACAATCCTCTAATTGCTGTGGATCACTGCAAGCTACAGAGGGTGACATCATCAGTTAACTTTGTATTCTGTTAAAATTCAACCACAACAAAAATGAATTGCATACAATCATCTTTTGGTCTCATTTTAGGCCAAAATCATGATTTACAACAAAAAAAAGATTTCAATATAAGATGCATCTGTGTTTCTTTTCTTAGAATGCCTCCTCTCTCCTCAGTTCCTCAACTGATACATCTATACAGCTGCTGAGGAACACATTCTTAAGGTCTTTACACACCAAACATGATTTATTCATGCGATTTTTTTCAGACAACAATAAGTTGATTCATGCATGTGTAAAACTGATGATCTATTGCAGTCTGTCCCAGTGGACAAGAGGGTCGCCTCAATGCAAATTAAAATTGCAAGGAGGAAAACTGTGACTATTGTGTGGGTTTATGCACCAAACAACAGTTCAGAGTATTAGGGCGTCTTGGAGCAAGTAGGTGGGGTTCTGGAAAGGGCCCCACCTACAGACTCCAGAGTCTTGCTGGGAGATTTTAATGCTCATGTTGGCAATGACTGGGAAACCTGGAGTGGGGTGACTGGGAGGAACGTCTAAACTTCTGAGCTAGTCACTGATTAATGACATTTATGATGTCATTATGATTTATGATTAATGATTAGTGTCCATAATGAACACCAAGTTCGAAAACAAGGATGTTTATAAGTGTACATGGTACCAAAGCTCCTTGGATCAAAGGTCAATGATTGACTTTGTTATTGTTTCATCTGACTTAGGACCATGTGTTCTGGACACTCGGGTGAAGAGAGGTGCTGAGCTGTCAAGCGATCACTATCTGGTGGTGAGTTGGATCAGATTTCTGGCAAAACTGGCAATCGGATCTGATAGACCCAAGAGGACAGTGAGGGTGTGCTGGCAAAACTGGCAGAGGCCCCTGTTCACCACAGAGGAGGTAGATGACATGGGGTCCAAATGGACTCTGTACAAAACTTTCACAGTGTAAGCCATCAGGCATAGCTGTAACCAAAAGCTTGTTGGGGTGGCAACCCCAGAACCCCATAGTGGACGATGGTGGTGAGGGAAGCAGTCAGGTTGAAGAAGAAGGCCTTTAAGGACTGGTCGGCCTGGAGGACTCCTGACTCAGTTGATAGATACGGTTGGGGAAAAAAGGCAGCAGCAGCGGTGGTGGCAGAAACAAAATCCAGAACATGGGAGGAGTTTGAAGAGGCCATGGAAAAACAGACATTTGTCTGGCGACTCAGCAGAGATCAGAGTGGCTTCGCTAAAGTTGTACTCAGCAGGGGTTGAGAAACTCTGACTTCCAGAGCACTTTGAGAAACTCCTAACCCAAAAGACATGCCTCCCCCATGGGATGGAATTTCCCTGATGGTGGTCACTGAGGTAGTTGGCAAGCTCCTTGGTATCAAGGCACTAGGGGTGGATGAGATTTGCCTAGAAATGCTTAAGGCTCTGGATGCTGTGAAGCTATCATGGATGACACGCCTTTGTAATGTCACATGGACCTCAGGAACAGTACCCTTGGAATGGCAGACTGGGCCGGTGGTAGACTAATCAGGAACAGCCATTTACAAGACTTATGTCTCTGCCACAAGTGCGGTGAACCCATGAGATTCCACACTTGGCCACTCTGCATGGCCACACCTCCCGCATGTCGTGGGTCACCACAATAATTACTGCAGCCATGGGCTACAGATCAGATCAAATTTGGAAAAAAATTCAGACTCTCTGTTGACTGACTGACTCATTCAGTCACACACTTGCTCACTCACTCACTTGGCCTCCTGGTCACACTAATTCAATTGGTCACTTATTCATTTATTCACTAATCACTTGGTCATACAATGACCACTTGGTCAATTACTCAGTCACTTGCTCATTCACTTGGTCACTCATTTGCCCGGTCAATCATTCAGTCACTGACTCACTCACTTGGTGACTTGGCCACTCATACCGGCACTTACTCTTTCAGTTATAAACTCAAAAAATCACTTACTTGGTCACTCACTCGTCCACCTGTTCTCTTGGGCGATTACTCATTCCCCCAGTCATTTACTTGCTCATGACTTGTTTGCTTACTTGGGCACTCATTCATCAACTGGTCACTCACTTGGTCACTTGGTCACTCACTTACCTGGTCAGTCGTTCAGTCATTTATTTGGTCATTCACTAACGCACTTGGTTTCGATCACTCACTCATCTGATCACTCATTTGGTTACTGACTCATTCATTTGGTGACTTGATCAAAGTAACTAACTTGGTCACTCACTTGTTTCAGTCACTTACTCATTTGATCACCCAATCAGTCACTTGGTCACTTAATCCATCACTTACTTGTAAAGTTAAAAAATTAATTGATCACTCACTCATTCACTTGGGTGCTTGCTCACTGATTCAAACACTCACCCACTTGGTTATTTTTTTGCTCACTTGATCACTAATTCATCAAGCTATCACTCACTTAGTCACTTGGTCACTCGTTTGGTTACTCGATCACTTTCTGAACAGTTCATTCTGTTGCTTACTCAGCCACTCATTTAGTTACCTAATCATTTGGTAACTCTTTAGCTTGCTCGGTTACTGGGTCTCTCGCTGACCACTCAGTCAGTCACAGACACTGAGACTTAAACACTTTGTCATTTATTCATTACTTGGTCGTTCACTCACTTGATCACATGGACAATCAGTTACTCAATCCATGACTAATTAAGTCACTATTCATTATTTCACTCACATGGTCTCTCAGTCAATCACTCAATCATCTTCTCAGTAATTCACTTAATAGGTCACCTGGTCACTCATTCAGTCACTCACTCGGTCCATCTGTAACTTACTTGGTACCTGATTTGATTTGGTCACTCACTCACTGACTCACTCATTTAGTCACTTGTCATTCATTCAATCAATCACTGTTTGATGAGCTCGCACAGTCAATGACAGTCACACACACACACACACACACACATTTGGTAACTCTAACTTAGTCTCTCTCTCTCTCTCTCTCTCTCTCTCTCTCTCTCTCACACACACACACACACACACACATACAGTGTTACCCCCACTCTCTCTCTTTCCTTTATCCTCTCTCTCTCTCTCTCACACACACACACAAACACACACACACACAGACAGACACACACACACAAACACCTGCAGCTGTGTGGTTTCTCTGTATGTACAAAAATGGAAGTTTTACAGGAATTACTCAGTTTAACTTCAGCTGCCGAATAGATGCTTATCAGCAGAATTAACACACTACACTACATGTAGATCTACTGTAACTGCACATTTCATCTAATATACACTAAACACTCATTTAACTGATTTACTCTTTTTATAAATACACTAGGAAAAATATACTGAAATAATTCTAAGTCATTAACTCACCGACTTGAGTTAATATCACATTCACTAACACACTTGCTCATTCGCTCACATACTCATTCAGTCACGCACTTGCTTACACATCCACTCAACAATTATCCATCATGCTGACACACTCGTTTTCTTACTCACACACCAGCTCGCTCACTCACACACTCACTCATTTCCGCTCTTGATCCCTTACCGGTTCACTTTCTAGCTCACTCATTCACTTACTCGCTTATTGACGGACCTACTAACTCATTGGCTGTCTCTGAATATTTGAATGAAGCTTTCTCTGTTATCACTCATTCAGATATTCACTCATGCAAACACGCGCACACACACACACACACACACACACACACACACACACACACTCACACACACACACACAGGTTAAATCACTCATTTGATCGTTCCATCGCTCCATCACAGATTCAGCCACTCATTTAGTTACCCACTCATTCTGTAACTAACGGGCTCATTTACTTGGTCTCTCACTGATCACTCAATCAGTCACTGGCACTGTAACATAATGACTTCACTCACTCACCACTTAGTTGGTCACGCATTTGGTCACATGGACAATTACTCACTTACTCGATCACTCACTACTATCAATCCTTCAACCATGTTCTCTGTACCTAACTCTACAGGTCACTTGGTCTCTCATTTGATCACTCACTCACTCCATCAGAAACTCACTTGACCACTCACTCGGACATGCACGCACTCATTTAGTCACTTGTCATTCTTTTAACCATTCACTGATTGATGGGCTCGCACACTGAATGACAACCCCCCCACATACACATAAGGTGTTACACCCCCAGTCTCTCCCTTTCTTCTTTTCTCTCCCTCCCTCTCTCTCTCTCTCTCTCTCACACACACACACAAACACCTGCAGCTGTGTGGTTTCTCTGTATGTCCAAAAATGGAAGTTTTACAGGAATTACTCAGTTTAACTTCAGCTGCCGAATAGATGCTTATCAGCAGAATTAACACACTACACTACATGCAGATCTACTCTAACTGCACATTTCATCTAATAAACTGACTGATTTTTTCTTATTATTAATACATTGAAAAAACTATACTAAAAAAATGTTAATTTGGGCAAATTGCATATTTATTTGTCCACAGAGCAAATGAACATGCATTGTGTTTTTTTTCTGTTTAATATAAGTATGTAAATATATTTTAACCTAATATATCAAACCTCATGCAGAGCACTCCATATATCACTCACCCCTATGAGTTGAGTCATTTCTTTTAGTGATGTATCTACGGTCAATCTCCTCATAGACTGCCTCAGTCAGAGTCTTATGTCTCCTCTTAGAGAGCACTGTGAGAGAGACAGAGAGAAACATGGAGCCAGTTCAGTAGAAGAGAAGACTGATGACAGACTGAAGGACTAATGATGTTTAGAGAATGTACAGAAAGTGGATTGTAGATGATCTCTGAATCTCTCTACCTCTCCTGAGCACTCTGTTCTGGTAAAACAGCACAACCAGAAGCACTAAGGCCAGAAAGAGCACCGCTCCCAGAACCAGGAGAGACACTGGATAGATGGGCGGAACAGGTGGAGGAGGAGTTTGTGGAGGAGGGATTTTCCTCTTAACTGGCTGACCAACTGTAAACAAATAAGGAACAGTATAGAAACTGTGTAGAAACTGTGTGAAGCACATAATAATCTATTCAGAAACATTTATAAAAATGACCTCAGTGACGAAATAGTACCTGTGGTGGTGGAGGTGGTGGTTTTAATTATGGGTGTAGTAGTAGAAGGCATAGATATGTCTGTAAATGCAGAAGCAATTCACAAAATTAAAAATCCAACAAAGCACAAAAAACAAACACTCACTAAAGTGGAATCATGTTAACTAGCAATTCCGTTTGAGATTTCATACAACTAAAAGCCACACTATACATTTTTTTAATTGAAAAAATGATAAACATACTAAAATGTGTTGTGCATGCGCTGCTGTGAGGCATCCTGTAAACCCAGACATAATACTTTAAAAATAAGAGGTGTCAGATCAGATCTCGTGAAGATTTTGGACCACATCATGTGTCTCTATGTATTAATGTCACACGCCTAGGCTCAAAAAAAGCAGTCTAGCTTCAGTCTCAAATGCAAAATCCACATTATATTGATGAAGACATGATGACAATACCAGATAACTCACTTACATCCTTGGAAGACATGTGCTTTCTGTTTAAACTCTTTGAGTTCTCCTTGAATACTTATTTAACACGCTCATGCTAGGGAAGGAGTCTGAAGCCTAACTGATGTTACAAAATCTACACATTCTTCTGCATGCTGCATGCAATTACATATTTCCACCAGAGAGGTCTCCAAATCCCCAAAACTTACACAGTGTAGGACTGCATACCTTAATTCACTTTTCCAAACAGCCTTGCACATTATTAAAACCCACATAAAATTGTTTTGATTCAAGTTAGAAACTTCAAAATCTAGCAAACTCCTCTGACCTGCACAGATGACTCCGGCGTCCTGCCTGTGGGAGCAGTCAGTGTGGTTCTTCAGGGAATGAGGACAGTCCCACAGGTGAATCTCATTCCCTCTACACTTCACTCTGTTCAGCCAGATAGGCCCTTCACCAGCACCAAAGACATCACTCCCATCAGCACTCAGTGCCGGCCCACAGCCCAGCTGCCTACAGACCACCTGAGCATCCCTGATGTCCCACTGATCATCACAGACGGACCCCCACACAGCATTATGATTCACCTCCAGCCTCCCAGAGCAGCTTCCATTTCCTCCTCTCAGCCTGAGATGCAAGTGCTCTACATAATACACATCACACATGAGGAGAAACACTAACTATGCAGGACAGTCTGAAAATAAACTTCAATACAGCTATAAACTACTAAGGTAATATTTTTACTCTTTGTCATACACTGTGGAACAAATGCAGTTATGTGTGTGAAGAGGAGGACTAACACTTACTATTAATGTGTGTTCTTACCTGTGCAGTGTCTCTGACGAGGAGATGATGAGGAGCATTTCAGATGCCATCTCTGCTCAAAATTTCCCTCATCTTTGAATATGTCAAAGTAGTTTATTTATATTTAGCTGTATTTATATGTATGTAAATCCATTGTGCTAATATGCTGACACTCTAGATCAAATTAATTTTCACACATGCTATTCATGACAACATATAAAAGCACTACAAGCTGCCTACCTGAGCATTTAATGTGAGCTACCTCGTTGCGATTATCACAGTTGTTCTGTCCCCAGGGTGAAGATGGACAATGCCACAGACTGGAGTCATGACTCCTACATTTCAGATCATCCAGCCAGTTAGGAACTGATTTCACTCTTGCTTTGGAAGCCCTCTGACTCTCCAATCTTCCACAGTTCAGCTCCTGACAGATCACATTAGCTGTTTCTTCAGTCATTCCATTTTCACACACATTACCCCAGGACCCATTGTAGAACACTTCCAGGTTCCCCTCACAGCCCTCAGTGAGTCTGATCTCTTTAAACTCTGGTGAGAGAAAGACAACTTATACTGAGTCTTAATACTTGTTGTGAATATGCTTTTTTACATGTTTTAGGAAATGTACCAATACAATATCGCTTTGGTCAAAAATTTCTAAAACGTTTTTGCACAAAGGCAACTGAAAATATTGTATATAATCAGGAAAGATATACAAATGAAGTAATAACAGCCTGTCCTAAAATAAGACAACATGAGGACTTTAAGATCAACATGCTCTACCTGAGCACACAACTCCTACGTCCTCCATGTGTCCACATTCATCCTCTCCACACAGCTGAAATCTGCAGTTCCACAGGGACGTCTCGTTCCCCTCACACTCCAATGCGTTCAGCCATATGGGTCCAGTTCCGAGTCCAAACCAGGCTGGTACTGGAGAACTGAGGGCCACTCCACACTGCAGCTGTCTGCACACCACCTGCGCATCCTCAATATCCCACACGTCATCACACACTGTCCCCCATGAACCGCTGTGGAAAACCTCCAGCCTTCCTGCACAGTCTCCCCCAGAACCAACCAGCCTGATGGAGCTGTGAGCTGAATTAAACTTACCTTCACAGACAGACAGACACACAAGACTGAGATCAAGATAGAGATCTTAATTTGTCCACCGCATGATGTTTTTTCTAATTTTTGCACAATTACAGCATATGTTAGAAAGGATAAATTTAGTGAAGATATTATTATCTGTTTATACTTAGAATATTAAATGGTTACCAGAGCAGGTGACTGAGAGCTGTTCTCTGGAGCTGCAGTTGACTGCTTGTGCGCTGCTGCAGTTCCCCAGATGAGCTTCACTCCCAGAACAATTGAAACCCATCACACACATGTGTCTGTGTTCAGGACTGGATGGAGAGGAGCTGGAGAAGCTGAACACAGAGCCACAGCCCAGCTGTCTGCAGACCACAGAGGCCTCAGACTCACTCCAGGAGTCCAGCAGTACTGTCCTCCAGTCCTGCCTGAAGTACACCTCCACCTCCCCCTCACACTCCATCCCTCCAGACAGCCGCACTCGCCCCTCATGAAACGCCAGAGAGGAACCTGAAGAGGAAAATAATCACTTAACTAAAATATATTCAATTAACTAAGGGTGCCATACATTTTTACAGTTTTACAGTTTTTTCCTAACATGGTGTGAATAATTATTGGGTGGAATACAGTTTTAAGAGCTCACCACTGCAGATGACTCCAGCATCCTGTTTATGAGAGCATGCAGTTCGACTCCATGATGAAATGGGACATTTTGACAGGTGGGTTTCATTCCCCTGACAATCAAACACATCAGCCCAGATCTGGCCACTCCCCTCCCCAAACCAGTCTGACCCCAAAACAGCCACAGCACTCCCACACTTCAGCTGACCACAGAGGACACTGGCAGCTCTCATATCCCAGCTTACATCACACACTGTGCCCCATTCACTGAGGTACTGGAGCTCTACTCGACCAGAACAGGAGTCCAAACCATTCATCAGCCGAGCCCCTGTGTGACCTGAATGAACATCACATTAAAGGAAAGAGCAAGGATTAAGGCAATTCAGCAAATTGTTCAATCTTTTTAAAAAATATTAATACTTTACCTGCACACACCAGTCCAACATCACTGTCATGGGTGCAATTGTGTTTGAGTGAAGATGATGTTGGACAGAAGTAAATCTGAGATTCGTTGCCTCTACACTGAAGCTCCTCTGTCCACACCTGACCCTCCCCTCTGCCAAATGCAGCTCCCCCCAGCACCTCCACAGGAAGCCCACAGCCCAGCTCTCGACACACAACCTCTGCATCCTGCTGGTCAAAGCCAACATCACACACTGTGGACCAGGTCTTCACATTAAGCACTTCCACTCTCCCAGAGCAGCGGTGAAAACCATCAGTGAGTTTGGACTTTCTGTGACCTGTGTGTATTTGAATAACATCAACATTGTAAATTACTCATAACAGATTTACAGATCTACGTACATATTCAGAAATTCTTGTTATGACTTTCAACAAGTTTCCACTAAATAACTGTTCAGTGCAGTCAGTGTAGGATGTTAATGTTAGAGGAACGTAACACAAGAGAGAAATTAAATGTGCTGTGCAACTCAAGGGAGAATTATTTAAATAATATCTTTTTATCCTTTGTGTTAAATATTTAATGTTTATTTGATGTTTCATTTTATTGTTTAAATCCAGTTAAGTATTCAGACACTGCAAATTAGTAACATTAGTGCTTTGTTGCAAATCATTTGTTGGTAATTACACCTTCAACACATCTATGGTAAGAAGTAATTAGATTTGTGCAGCACTGCAGTTCAAATTTGACCCATTCCTCTTGGCAAACCTACTTAAATTGCCCAAAGTCATGAGCGTCCCTCTGCTGGACTCACATTTCAAAACAAAGTTTGGAGATTGCCTTGGCCTTCTACCTTTTTAGAATTTAGTCTTGAGTTATTATGGATGTATGTTTGGGGTTGTTGTCTTGATAAAACAACCATCTTATCCCCTTTCTTACTCAGTGAGATTAAATTCTACTCTAAATATGTCCCGGTACATTGCTCTAGGTATGCTGCTTTCAGTGATGTGTAATGCCCCAGTACTTTTTGTCCAAATGCTTGAGTGAAAATTTTAAACCTGCATCTCTGTATTTTTTTTTTTAAAGAGGAGCTTTGAGTGGGGTGTAGGAATGGAGATAACTGTGGTGCAGTTGTTCTGTAACTGCAACTGTGACAAGACAAAAAAAGATTTGTCAAGGTCAAATGGAGTAAATAAGACTGAAAGTCTAATAGTTCAATATAATAAAATACACTACAGGATTGTAATTTTCTAAAAAAAACATACGGCTACAGAACATGTATCTGCTATTGTAGCAGAACTCAACGTTCATGATATTTGTGCAGTGCAGCACCAGTTAGCTAAAATTGATAAGAGCTAGCTGTAGCTGATCTAGCAGGCTAACAGCTTCACACACCACAGCACACATTTGATGTGGACAAACTAATGCACAATTCACCGGAGTTTAGAGGACAAAGACTCAAATCTAGGCTCTGGTGTGTGGCGCTTTTACAAGATACTGTAACTGCTTTGCATACCACAAAGCAGATTGAACTGCGGCTATAGCCACCGACACAAGCTTTAAACTCCAGCTAACGACTGAAACATTTTCCAGATAAAAACCCTTATCTGAGCAAGTGGATCAGATAATTAGTGCTGGAGTGGCAGAATGACAGAATCTACCCTTTTCTGTGGTGTGTTGAGAGGTTTGACTGAGCAAAAGCCCCCTGTAACCTCATGTATTTCCTCTTTGGTTTTTGTAGAAAGCTCAAAAAAATCATATACTGTGATGAGCATATAACACTGATTTAACTGCAACTAAACCAATATCTTAATATCTTGATTTTTGGAGAAAAGTCTTGATATATAAATGAAATGTGGTGGCAATCACCATTTAATCCTGAGTCATAAAAGATGAACATTTTAGTTTTTTCCTCTTTGCACAACCTGAATTAAAAATATATTTAGTTTATTTTCTGGTTAATAAAGCTAAAGTGAGAAGCTTACTGTTATGTTTTTGCTCCACTTCATCTCAGTTATTATTCATACTACTTATTCTGTTCAACAAGGCAGAGCTGAATTTCCTTCTGTTAACTTTCTCCATTTTGTTACATTACAGTCTGCATGGTAGTGGGAGAAAAGGTTTGGAATGGTAAGGGTAATGAGGTGTTTCCAATTTACACTGATATGTATATTCATAAATCTTCACAATCCTAATGAGTGTAAAGACCTGGACATACTCTTCTGCCATTTTTATACGTTTTTTGAGCAGAAGTACATCATATAAATGTTTAAGAAGGTATTATTTAAAATAGATTAAGTTATACTGTTTACATTATGAGAGTTTTTCACATGTACACATTGTCTCATTTGCCAGTATTCAGAACTACTGGTATATAATTTAATATAAAAAAGTTATTTACATTCAATCTTCATTATTCCAAAATAAGTTTCGATCATAATGATAACATTTAGAAAAACTCATATTCATTAATGTCATGACTAATTGCAGCTTACCTGAGCAGATGACTGCAGCATCACTTCCATGATCACAGTTATGTTTGCCCCATCCCTCTGTTATACAGTTCTTCAGAGATAATTCTGATCCACTACAGGTCACATCATTCATCCAGATTTGTCCTGATCCTGTTCCAAAGTGAGCTTTACTCAATGCATCTACAGCCTCTCCACAGCGCAGCTCTCTACACACCACTGTAGCATCTCTCTTATCCCAGTCATTATGACACACTGTTCCCCACTGTCCTCTATGAAGAACCTCCACTCTCCCAGCACAGCGACTGCCACCATCCACCAACCTCACACTTTCTGTACAACAGGGGGAGGAATAAGAGGTAGGGAGGGCTTGCAAAAAAATGTCAACATTTTACACAATTCATCGCAGCCCTCAGAATCAAGAATAACAGGAAAATCTATGGCTCTTACCAGCACAAATGAGAGCCACATCACTGTCATGGGAGCAGTTATGTTTGAGTGATGATGTTGGACAGAAGTAAATCTGAGATTCATTGCCTCTACAATGAAGCTCCTCTGACCACACCTGACCCTCCCCTCTGCCAAAAGCAGATGCTTCCAGCACCTCCACAGGAACCCCACAGCCCAGCTCTCGACACACAACCTCTGCATCCTGCTGGTCAAATCCAGCATCACACACTGTGGACCAGGTCTCTCTATGGAGCACCTCCACTCTCCCAGAGCAGTGAGAACCACCAACCAGCCTGACTCCTAAAATAAAAACAATACACAAAAACAAATATACATCTACAAACTAAAGCCTAAATATACAAAGAAAACTCTATCTAAAACCATTTATCTGGGCAGTAAGCGTTCACTTATTCAGAAAACATTAACAGTGAAATAAATAAAAGTTAGCAATAAAACAATACATTATGCAAACCATTTGGAAATGTGTCTTCAAGGAAATCCAGTGTTTATAATATATAAATATATCAATATTGAAAACAAGAAGATTTCAAGTCTATGCATTTATGTTTGTTTCCTTTGCGCTGGCTGGTTAGTTTATTGTATTGTATGCCAAGAACTTCCTTGTAAATAAACACAGGTGCAACTTAATAGCCACTTTTGGCTCAAGTACTTTTTGTGTGAAAGTCTGTATTTGCCAGATAAGAGAAAAAAAGCCCTACTGTGATACTGGTTCATTGTGACATAATATAAATGTCTTATTTATTAGATTTGACTTTAAGTCTAAATAATGACTCAAAAATGAGTAAAATTAAGAAGAAAAAAAAAACATTATTAATATAATATTTATCTTAAGTCATTAGATGAGTGTAAAAACCATAGATATACATACCTAGATGCCAGCGTTGTCAACATTGCTGCTGGACTGCATTCAGTACCATTACAAAGCGGCAGTTTAAGAAAGATTCTGTTCAAAATGATACTATTTCAAGAATATTGCACTCAGAAAGCGGGATAGGATTATATAACGGAGGGAACGCAGCGATCCCGCTCATGCATATTTTTTTGTATGATGTTTATGTGTAGATATGGCCGTGTGGTTGGTGAGGCACAAAGAACCTGTTGATGTGATTGTTTTTCCTCTGGTTTTATTTTGAGCTTATTTCATTTAATGTTCAGTTTAGGGGATGTTAACTTGATGTAGTAGTTATTTATTTACAATGATGGTTGCTTTGTAGCTAGGTAAATTATAGCATTCCTTAATCTGTGTAGATTAGAAGTGATTCACACAGTGATGGATTTGCTGATGTGTGTGAGATTATGTTTCTACCATAGCTCACACTAAACTGTTTTTAATGTCAGGTGCAGACTAAATTCTTTTCTGCTGGTCTGGATGGCTAATTAGCACCATCAGTTATTAAAGAAATCAAAGCTACCGAGAGCAGTCTGGGGATTATAACAAAACAAATTTTGTGAATTTGTTCACAAGCGGATCTTGACCGGATCAACTTACCTCAGTTAGGGAACAACAGACAATGCGGCATCTAGGTATGTATATCTATGGTAAAAACATTGTTTAACTGAAAGAACCTCCTTTTAGTTCTTTATTTCCTTCGTCCAATTAAGAATGTGACATGTCAGACATTCACAAAAAAAAATGTTTATGTAGAAAATAAAGTAATGTGTTCTAAAAACCTCTCTCTTTTCTCTCTCCACACACAAACAGTGGTAGCAACATTAGCACTAATAAATAGGACAAGCTTTCCACAAGTGTTAAATAACACAGTTAATATTTACTATCAGTATTGGTAAATCACAGTAAGCGCTTCTTTATAATAATCTTTTTTCAGTATTCTGCGCTTTGACAGAGAAACTCTTATAAATGCATATGCAATGAGGCAAAGGCGCAAGAGCAGCATCCGCCGCTTTTATCTTCTTTTGCTATAAGGGCGTTGTGCCTCTTTAGTGAACTGTGACAGTCGCTTTTTAAAAGTCAAATGGAATCTGTAACAGTGCAAAAAATGTGTAAACCTGCCCATATGTGTTCCCAGCCTTTTGGCAGGCAATGCATAACAATGAATAGAAATCAATGATGATTCTGTTCTATCGCTCTCTAAAACAAACAATGATAGTCGTTGATTGTACATTCCAAAATAAAAAATACAAAATTAAAATACATTCATTAAAAATCAGGACTGATCAAAACACCTTTGAGGGTGACACAGCTAAAATCAACTTTATAACGAAAACAGAGCCTAGAGATTAATGATATAAGTGCAGGATGTTTTTTCATAATTTTCACATTCATGTGAATCAGGTAAGTTCCACTGTGGATAATGCAATTACATTGTACTACAGGGAGTTTTAGTCAGCCTATTGCTTTTGTCCTGAAAACTTATAGAGAAACTAATCATATTTCAATTTGAGAATTATTGGTAAATACACTCAGATAGATATAGTCAATAACATTCATAATCTTCATTCTGAAGTGATGATAATATTATGACAAATCATGAATATGATGACTCACTGTAACTTACCAGAGCAGACGACTCCAGCACGTCGTTTGTGAACACAGTTATGTTTACCCCATCCTGATGATTTACAGTTCTTCAGTGTAGACTCTGATCCAATACAGTGAACATTACTCATCCAGATTGGTCCTGATTCTGATCCAAGGTGAGCATCACCTGGTGCATCTACAGCCTCTCCACAGCGCAGTTCTCTACACACCACTGCAGCATCTCTCATATCCCACTTATCATCACACACTGTTCCCCACTGTCCTCTATGAAGAACCTCCACTCTCCCAGCACAGCGACTGCCACCATCTACCAACCTCACACTGTCTGTAATTGTCAGAATAACATTCTAAACAGTTGATCACAGCATGGAATCTAAGAATAACAGGAAACAATGCAGCTCTTACCAGCACATACCAGTCCCACATCACTGTCATGGGAGCAGCTGTGTTTGAGTGAAGATGATGTTGGACATAAGTAAATCTGAGATTCGTTGCCTCTACACTGAAGGTCCTCTGACCACACCTGACCCTCCCCTCTGCCAAAAGCAGCTGCTGCCAGCACCTCCACAGAAAGCCCACAACCCAGCTCTCGACACACAACCTCTGCATCCGGCTGGTCAAAGTCAGCGTCACACACTGTGGACCAGGTCTCTCCATGAAGCACCTCCACTCTCCCAGAGCAGCGATGAGGACCACCAACCAGCCTGACTCCTAAAATAAGAGTGGAGATTGTATAGTACTGTAGTTTCTCAGGTCATATATCATGCTGTTATTAACTTTGAACCTATCTGTATTTTACACTTGAACACATTAACATGTTAACACATTTTGTAAAGACATACATATTTTAAAAAAGTAAATTAAATGAAATTTAAAGAGTGAAAATTGAATTTCTCAGCAACACCTACCAGAACAAATGACTCCTGCATCTTTACCATGATTACAATCATGTTTTCCCCCTCCTGGTGATCTACAGTTCCTCAGTGTAGACTCTGATCCACTACAGTGCACATTATTTATCCAGATTGGTCCTGATCCTGGTTTAAAGTGAACATCACTCAGTGCATCTACAGCCTCTCCACAGCGCAGCTCTCTACACACCACTGCAGCATCTCTCATATCCCAGTAATCGCTACACACTGTTCCCCATGTTCCATTATGAAGAACCTCCACTCTCCCAGCACAGCGACTTCCACCATCCACCAACCTCACACTGTCTGTACAACAAGGTGAGGATACACAAATGTTGTTAAAAGCTGTTAAATTCATCCACAGTAGAGCTGCAAAAGCTGTTAAATTCATTCAAATAATATAGGAGTTAATACCAATGGCATCAAATAGAAGATTTCCTGAGCAGGTGACTCCAGCATCTTCAGAATGATCACAGTTATGGTCACCCCATTTAGTCGATGTACAGTTAATTAATGTAGACTCTGATCCACTACAGTCAACATCATCCTTCAAGATTGGTCCTGATCCTGATCCAAAGTGAGCACCTCTCAGTGCATCTATAGCATCTCCACAGCCCAGCTCTCTACACACCACTGCAGCATCTCTCATATCCCAGCCATCATCACACACTGTTCCCCACGTTCCGTTATAATGAATCTCCACTCTCCCAGCACAACGAATACCTCCATCCACCAACCTCACACTGTCTGTACAACAAAGAAAGAGAGAGAGAGAGAGAGAGAGAGAAAGAGACAGAAAGAGAGAGAGAGAGAGAGAGAGAGAGAGAGAGAGAGAGAGAGAGAGACAGAAAGAGAGAGAGAGAGAGAGTTTAGTCAAAAAAGCCGCATATGTTTTATATATACATATTGTTGCTGTCGGATGAAAACCTTGTATCTCCAAAATGGTCACTTTACAGGTGAAGGAAAAAAAAGACTTTACTTTTGACATAAGTCAATGGAACCAGACATTTTTCCAAGTAATTCTGGACCTGGTCCTTTGTCCATTTATAAGGTTATATTGCAAATGTTTTTGGATCATTTATATTGACACAGTGTTCATAATATTTCCACACAATTTTCAATTTTTTGAAAAAAATGCTATATTCAAGCAAAAAAAAATAGATATATGGATAATTTACACTGTAATAACATAAGCTAAAACTTAAAATAACATTAATTAATGTGACAACACCTAAATTAAGAAATTGAGAGACTGAAGAAGAGCGACAGACAGACAGAGAGAAAGCAGCACAGTTAAAATTGTATCTTAATTATTGTTTGATACTGAAAGTGTACTTACCAGCTGTGGTGAGTGTGATTGTGGTGGACAGAAGAATGAGAGCCACACAGCTGTCCATCTCCCTCTGACCTGCACACAGTTCGTTCAACTCAGCAGCAGAACAAGCTTCACCTCCACTCCCCCAGGGAGACTGAAGAAACTGATAGAGAGAGAGAGAGAGAGAGAGAGAGAGAGAGAGCTCCCCACAGCCGCCAATCACACTCACTATTACCTTATTAGAAAGAGGAGAGGAAATCATCAAACATTTTCAGTGACAAATCAGAGGAGGCTTTTTTTTCTTTCTCCATATTTATCAAAAGAGCGTCAGCGCTGATGAACAGAACTCCACCTCCGTCTCTAGAGGTGTGTGTGTGAGGAGAGACGCTCGCAGCAGTGTGGTGAGAAACACACCAGCATACAGGAGACTGACTTCAGAGAGAGGAAACACTCCAGTGTAATACAACATTAATGCTGCACCTGCAGAGAGCTGATCCACACAATGATAACCATCACACACACACAAACACACACACACACACACA